AAAAGCACAGAATTAACTCTGTGCACCATGGATCATGTTAGCATACAGATACACCTAAATGTAAGATTCAGGGCTCGATGGTAGCTCACAGGTGGACATCTTCAGATCTCTTCGGGCACCAGGCACATCTGTGGCATGTAGACATACACAAAAGTAGGGCACTTGCCAGGTGGTGGTAACAGCACACACCTTTAATTCCAGCACTTACAAGGCAGAGGCAGGCGGATCTCTGTGAGTTGGAGGCCAGCTTGGTCTTCAAAGAGAGTTCCAGGACAGTATCCAAACCTATGGAGAAAACCTGTCTCAACACTCCCCCTCATAAAAAAGCAGGGCACTTACATGAGGAAAAAAAAAAAAGCAGCCAGGTGGTGGTGCACGCCTTTAATTCCAGATCTCAGGAAGCAGAGGCAAGCAGATCTTTGTGAGTTCAAGGCCAGCCAGGGCTACACAGAGAAACCCTGTTTCGTTTTTTGTTTTGGTTTGGTTTTTTTGAGACAGGATTTCTCTGTAATGCTTTGGAGGTTGTCCTGGATCTCACTCTGTAGACCAGGCTAGCCTCGAACTCAGAGATCCGTCTGCCTCTGCCTTGTAAGTGCTGGGATTAAAGGCGTGCGCCACCAACGCCCGGCTGAAACCCTGTTTCAAAACAACAAAAAGGTAAAACATGACCCGGAGAGCCGGCTCAGCTTTAAGACCATTCATTGGCTGCTCTTGAGGAGAAACCAGATCCAGTTCCTAGCACTCACTTAGGGGCTCCCAACCATCTGTGACTCTAGCTCCAGGAGATCCAATGTCCTCTTCTGGCCTCCTCAAACACCAGGCCACATGATGACACACATACACACAAACACTCACATATACACACAAATTAAAAGTAAACAATAATTATCTTGTTTTTTTGAGTTCAGGTTCCTCTATATAGCTCTGGCTGTAAAGAAAAAACTAGGAGGTGCAGATGATTCTTCCAAAGGACCAGGGTTCAAGTCCCAGCACCCACATACCAGGTCATAACCATCTGTAACACCAGTTACAGGGTATCTGGTGACCTCTTCTGTCTTCCATATACCAGGTATGCACATGTTACACAGACATACATATAGGCAAAACACCAAGACACATAAAAATAAAAAAAATTTTAATATTAAAGAATTTCTGAGAGCCATGAGTGATGGCAACCGCCTTTAATCTTGCCATTTGGCAGGTGCATTGAGTTCAAGGTCAGTCTGGTCTACATACTGAGTTCTAGGACATTGGGGACTTTGTAGAAATCCTGTTTCAATATCACCCTCCCCCCCCAAAAAAACAATCTGAGAGGCTGGGCATTGTTGGCACACGCCTTTAATCCCAGCACTCAGGAGGCAGAGGCAGGTGGATCTCTGTGAGTTCGAGACCATCCTGGTCTACAGAGTGAGTTCCAGGAGAACCTCCAAAACAATACAGAGAAACCCTGTCTCAAAAAACCAAGAAAGGAAAAAGAAAGAAAAGGGTAGCACAAACCTGTTACCCTGACAGCTCAGAGGCCTGAGAAGAGGAGTGTGAGGTGGAAGTCAGCATGAGGCAGAGCATGCTCCTGGACGTCATAAACTACATTACCAGGGCGGGTCTCATCCTGTAGCACAGGCAGACACTGACACTACACTTGAACCATGGGAGTAAGGAGTTTTGGACAGGGGTGGGGAATGGGTATCATTTTTCTTAAACAAAACTACAGATAAAAATGCTGAGGACAAAGCTTCAATGGCAGACTTTGAGAAACCCTAGGTTCAAACTCCAGCATCAAAAAATTAGTACAGGGCAGACAAGATGGATCAGCAGGTAAACCTCTTTGCCATACAAGCCTGTAAATGTGAGTTTAATTCCTAGATCCCACACAAAGGTAGAAGGAGAAAACTACACCCAAAAGCTGTCCTCGGAGCTCTACAAACAAGCCATGGCTTGTGCTCACCCATATTCACAAACACATCACACACACACAAATTTAATTAGGACAGAAAAAAAAAAGGCCACACATATCCTAATATTAAGAAATTTAAACTGAACATGGTAGAGCATATCTTTAACTCCAACACTCATTGGCAGACAGAGCACTTAAGTTTGAGGCAAACCTGGTCTACAAAGAGTTCTAGGACAGCTACAGAGGAACCCTGTTTCGAAAACCACCCTCCAAAAATTTTAAACAGGGGCTGAAGAGTTAGTTCAGTGGTTAAGAACATCTGCTGCTCTTACAGAGGACCCAGGTTCAATTCCTAGCACCCACAAGGTAGCTGACAACCATTTGTAACTCCAGTTTCAGGGGATCCAATGCCCTCTTCTGAACTCCTAAAACACCAAGCAAGTAAGCAAGCACGCACACATACACAAACATGCACATGCAAAACAGATACACATAAAAGAAAGTTTACAAGGGGGAACAGGAACTGAGCTTGGTGACACATGACTTTAATCCCAGCACTCATGAGGCAAAGACAAGTGGATTTCTGAGTTTGAAGCCAGCCTTGTCTACAGAGCTAGATTCAGGATAGCAAGAGCTACACAAGAGAAACCTTGTCTTGAAAAACAAAAAAACACATTAAATAGGAAATAAAGCCCTTTTTCTTTCTCTCCTCCCGCGGTTGGACTAGAACTTACTATGTAGACTATACTGGCCTCTAACTTGCTTGTATAACTCCTACCTTTGCTTCCTGACTGCTGGGATTTCAGGGACATGTCTGGGTTTGGGCAGTACTGGAGATGAAACCCAGGGCTTTAACCATGCTAGATAAGTCCTCTACCACTGAGGTACCCCCTGGTAGTCCCCAAACCAATCTTGTCACCAAGACTGAAGCTATATAATTTATTCTGCTGTGTGTGTGTGTGTGTGTGGTGTTGTTGTTGTTGTTGTTGGAATTTAAAATCAGGACTTCATGCATGCTAAGCAAGTACTCTACCACTGAGCTATATTCCCAGCCCAAAGTCTTTACTTTAAATTAGTATATGCTACAGGAAATATCTCTATATTATCAATTCCAAATCAAGAGCGACACACTCTGTTCCCTATTAGTAAACAGAAGTATTTACTTTCTTTCATAGTTTTTTTTTAAAAACAAAATTTCAATAGAGGGAGATTAACTACAATCCATTTACCATAATTACTGGTTGTTCCAGTAATATTCCAGTAATTTTTGGAAATTAAACTGTATCCTTAAGCCAGGCATGGTGGTACAGGCCTTTAATCCCAGCACTCAGGAGGTAAAAGCAAGTGGATCTCTATGAGTTCAAGACCAGTCTGGTCTACAGAGAGCTTTCCAGGACAGCCAGGGCTACAAAGAGAAACCCTGTCTCAAGGAAAACAAGAAGCAAACAAACAAACTGTATCCTTTAAAATTAACCAGGAGTTTGCTTTCAAAGTATTTTCTAGGAAAGTTATCATATGAACTCCACTTTGTGTAATACTTCTAATATCTACAAAAGAAATGCTTATATTTGACAGTACATGACACACCTCAGCATGGACACAATAATACCCTTTCCAATCTGTCACTAATAACTTGAGCCTTTACTTAGTAATTTTAAGCACCTGCATCTAAAAAGTACAGTGTATACTGACCACAAAAGACAAAGCTAACAGTTGGTAAGGATACCACTCTTACATAATATTCTAAAAATGTCCTTTTACTAAGTATTCAGCAACTGTCACATGCATGAATGTTGAACATTCCCTATCAATCCTATTTTCAACAAAGTTGACCCAGTTTAAGGCCTGAAATTGAGGCTTTTGAACGATAGAAAGTAAGAGTTAAGTAATTGGGTAATCCTAAAAATACACATCACAACTACATGACTAAGATATTCGTTTAAAACTTGTGCCAAGATAACTCCTCCCTTCAAAACAAACTAAAATTGACTCACTGCCCTATTTTACTTAATTCTGGAATTAAAGATAAAGAAATAAATGGATTCCTAAACACTCATTTTCTGTCTCTAAACCCCCTACTCCATCTTCACTCGGTGATTCCACCTCCAAAAAAACGCTTTAGTCCAATCAAGACAAAACAAAACCTCAGTGTCTCCAAGCACTGAATTCAGGAATAACGCATGAAAAACAATGGAAACAATGTCTATATGGTGGCTGCCTAAGGAGCCACTCCACGGCGAGGAAACCCTCTCACCTCGGATGCTTCTCATTTGTGGGACGACCCCATTTGTAGAAGCTAACCACCTAAGCAAAAGCTTTCAATTTCCTCTCCCTAAAGTGGGAAACTATCAATCTCTCTGACGGACACGTTCCACCCTTTGTGAATGTTTGTACACGGTGTGGGGGGGGGGTGCTAGTAAACTTGCTAGGAAAGGACAAAGGGCATTTTGAAAGCAGGGAAAACTATGAAGTAAATGGAGAATGAGGGCAGGAAGGAGGGCTAAATTAAAGTCTCCTCAAGCAGAAGAGCAAGACAACGCCAGCTTACCACCCTCTCTTTTATGGCCAACCCCCCCCCCGTCACGCTCTCTTCCTTATTACCACCTACTGGAACCAAAAGTTGGACTACTCCTACCCAAGACCAACAAATCCTCCAGGGCACTAGCAACATCGGGGATGACAGGCTAATGTCCCTCCCCCACACTCCCCCCCAAAAAAGAGAAAAGTCCAGTCCACTAAGTGCAGGTCACCCTGCCCTCTGGGGCAGTTCCAGCCTGCGCAGAGAAGGCTCGGATGGGTCGAGAAAAAGAAGATAGACCATCTCTATTTCCACACACCCTCAGCTGGAGAAACAAAACAAAGGCAGCCTCCTTCCCGGTAGCCACTACCCCAACCACAGAGGCTTTCCTATTTCCCGGTGCAGCCTGGCCTCCCGCCCCCGCCCCATGACAAAGAAAAGGCACTTGGTGAGCAAGGCCTTCCTGCCTCCACGGATGGGGGAGGGGGCTGCGAGGTGAGGGGCCCCCTCGGCTCCCCCGCGCTCAGGCTCCCGGCCCGCGGCGGACAGCGGGCGCCCGGGGAGCCGGTCCGGGAACGGGTGGGGTACCTTGAAGTAGCCGCCTTCGTAGAGGGTGTTAGGGGGTCCGAAGATGGCCACCTCCCAGTTGTAGAGGTCGGACTCATCCACCAGGGTGATCCGGAAGCCCTCCACGGGTTCCTCCTGCAGGGATTTCAGCTCAAGCATCAAGGCTTTCTGCGAGCTGGTCATCTGCTGCTGGGCCATCGCGGCGGCGGCCGTGCGGGGCCGCGGCCCCAGTCCTCGCGCACCCGCCGGGCCGGACCAGGCCCCTCCCCTCCGCTCGCCCTCGGGCCGGGCCCCTGACTTCGCACGCCTGGCGGGGCCGGATCAGGCCCCAGACGGCCCGCGGGGCCCGCCCGGGGTCCTCCTCGCTCTCGACGCGGACCGGCCCGGGCCCTCCTCACGCTCGGGCCGGGCGGGGGGAGGGCCTGAGGGAGTTGGGGGAATCCGCTCCCGCCGCCGGGCCTCCCCCCCCCGGAGGGGGCCTCTGCTTGGGGGGGGGGAGTGGAGGTGGAAGCGAGGGAAGGCGGCGGAGGGCAGGCGACGGTGAGGACAGGGGGGCCGGGCTGGGCCGGGAGCGCCGTGCTCGCTCGCCCTCTCGTTCTCCGCGGGGGCCGGAGGGGCGCACGAGGGAGGGCGCGCCGTGCGCCGGGGTCTCGGGACGGCGGCGGCGGCGGCGGCGGCGGCTGCGCGGGGGGAGGGGCGGAGGAGAAGAGCGAGAGCGCCTCGCGCCGCGGGAGCGACAGAGCAGAGGAGGAGGGAGGGAGGGAGGGAGAGAGGGAGGGAGGGAGGGGAGGGAGAGGAGGAGGGGCGCGCGCCGGGAGCGGGGCGGCTCGCGGCGGCAGCGGCCCGGTGCGCGTGCGCGCGCCCCTCCTTCCCCCGCCCTCCCCGCTCGGCTCGGCTCCGGCTCCCGCCTGCCAGCTTCTCCCCCCGCCGGGCCCCACGGTGGCGGCGCTTTGTGACGCCCGCGCGTGTCCCCCACCCTCAAAGAGCCAAGCGGCGGTGGGGATCAAGGGCGGGCCGCCGAGGATCGCTTTGGGCCCTAAGTGACGGTTGTGCGGCGGGACGCCGCGGTTCCAGAGGCGTGCCCCGGAAGGAACCTCAGGTCCTAAGGCTCTCGGCGCTCTCGCCCTGGGAGTCCCTGGCCTCGGCAGGCTTCCTGTGTGGAACCCTGGACCCCTGAGGGCTCCTCTCAGCGACACCAGCCTGTGGTCCTCACACTTAGTAGATGCCAGAATAAGCGGCGTCTCTCGCTGATGGAGCCCCTAGGCAAGTCGCCCACCTTAGGGAAGGCAGGCTCCCCAAGGAGAACTAGAGAAAAGCAGATAAGCTAGCTCCCGCTCCTTTTACCGGGAGAAGGGTGTGTGGAAAGACTAAAAAACTAATGCTGAACCTGATTCCAGGTCCTCTTGAGATTTGGGGAAGAGTGCTGCTTATACCTTACAGTACCTGATTGCAAAACACTGAGGTTGGCCTGGTTTGAGCTCGGAAAGGAAGGGGGAGACAAAAGCAGAAGGGTCAGTGTGAGGCCAACCTGGTCAAGGAATTGGTAGTTCCTTGCCAGTCAGCGCCACATAGTGAGACCCTATGTCTAAAAACTTTTGCCTCCTACAGATCCTTTCTGCTTGATCTCCTGGACTTGGCATGGCTGAAGAGAGATAGAGAGACATGGTCTTCCGTCCCTGGGGTTAGGGTACTCAAGGATTGTTTGTTACAGAACAAACCAGGATCACTGCTGGGCATGGTGACTCACGCCTTTGATAGGCAGATTGATTTGAGTTCAAGGCCCGCCTAGTCTACGTAGCAAGTTCCGGGACAGTCAGAGCTGTGTAGAGAAGCCCTGTCTGAAAAAAACAGAAACCAGAACACTGAGACAGGTTTCAAACATACCATTTTGGGTTCAGAAAGCTGCATTCCAACTCCTTGTTTGATCAGTTTCTGTAAAAGATTAATTACACCTAACAATTGTAATGGTTAAATTTAATCTACAGCTAATACGACTTTATTTTTGCAAAAGTTTCAGATTTATAGAGACAGTAAAGTAGGAAGCACCCAGCTTCCCTACTATGACATCTTCCATAGTATAAGGCAATTATTGTGATTTATAAAACAATACTGACCACTGACTACATGCCTGACATCCCAAGATTCTGGAGGCTAAAGCTGGATCATTTCAAATTCTAGCCGTGACTGACTTATAGAAGAATCTGTCTTAAAACCCATGGTACTACTACTCACCTATAATCCCAGCACTCTGGGAATAGAATCAAGAGGATCAGTTCTGGGCTACAAGACTCTGTCTCAAAAACAAGGAGCCTGTGAGAAGCCTCAGCGGGTAATGGGAACTACGGAGGAGTCCCACAAGTTGACCTCTGACCTACACTCAGTGCTTGCAATGGCACACACCAAATAAATGATGTAGCCGGGCGTTGGTGGCGCACGCCTTTAATCCCAGCACTCGGGAGGCAGAGGCAGGTGGATCTCTGTGAGTTCGAGGCCAGCCTGGTCTACAGAGCAAGTTCCAGGACAGCCTCCAAAACAATACAGAGAAACCCTGTCTCGAAAAAAACAAAAAATAAAAAAATAAATGATGTAAAAATTGTTTAACTTCTTTAGATGTATGTGTGGGAAGGGATGCCTTCGTATATTCAAGCCTGGGGGCTGGCAAGATTATTTAGTGGTTAAAAGTGAGTACCTCTCTTCCAGAGGACCTGAGTTCAGTTCCCAGCACTCACATCAGATAGCTCACAACCACATACAGCTCCAGCTCCAAGGAATCTGATGATCTTGGCCTCTACAGTCACCACACTCAACATGTATTTATCTACATAGACATACACATGTACACGTAATTCTTAATATAAAAAGGGAGGGGCTGAAGAGATGGCTCAGCAGTTAAGAGCACTGACTATTCTTCCAGAGGACAGAGTTCAATTCTCAGCACCCACATAGCAGCTCACACCTCTCTGTAACTCCACTTCCAGGGGTTCTGATACCTTTATACCAACACATAGAATAAAGTTAAATATAGTAGGGCATTGGTGGCTCCCGCCTTTAATCCCAGTACTCAGGAGGCAGAGGCAGGCAGATCCTTGTGAGTTCAAGACCAGCCTAGTCTACAAGAGCTAGTTCCAGGACAGTCTCCAAAGCCACAGAGAAACCCTGTCTCAAAAACCACAAAAAAAATAAGTTAAATCTTTTTAAAAAGAGCAAGAAACTTTTTGGAGAAATGGTTCATCGGTTAAGAAGGGTACTTGCTGTTCTTGCAAAGGACCTGGATTCAGTTCCCAGCACCCACTCCACTTACAAGGGATTCAACACCCTTTTCTCACCCCATGGGCACTGTATTCACACGGTACGCAGAGATACACATAGGTAAAACACCCACACAAACACACACCTCTAATCCCACCACTTGGAAGACACAGACTGGTGGATCTTGGTGAATCCTAGGGCTACACAGAGAAACCCAAGTCCTTTTTTTTGGGGGGGAGGGACAGATTTTCTCTGTAGGTTTGAAGACTGTCCTGGAACTAGCTCTGTACACCAGGCTGGCCTTGAACTCACAGAGATCCACCTGCCTGTGCCTCCCGGGTGCTGGGCTTAAAGATGCGTATGTATGGGTGTTTTTCAAGACAGGGTTTCTTTTTTGTTTGTTTTTCAATAACTTGCTCTGTAGACCAAGCTGGCCACCACAGCCCAGCACACCTGGCAACTTATAATAAAGTTTTATTAAGCCCCAAATTTTCCAGTTCTGCCACCCTTTCCCTTTAAACAGTGGCCTAGTGGCAGACCCCAACATGCAGCTCATGAAGACCTGTGGAAAGGGATCATCACCCTAGAGGTCGAGCCTGGTGACACCATTCTCAGGGACAAAATCCAAGATAAAGAAGGCATCTGGCACAACCAGCTGCACTGACGTTCCCTAGGAAGCAGCTGGAGCATGCATGTCCACACCTGGTCAGACTACAATATCCAGAGAGTTCCCTGCACCTGTGTGGTGGCATCATAGAGACAGCTCATCCAGAGGCATATCTAGGACAAGATGATCTGTCACAAATGCTCTAAGTGCTGCACCCAGGTGCGGTCTAGTCAGCTGCCACAAGAAGTGCACTCACAACAACTAACCTGTACCAAAGAAACAGTGATGCATTGCTAGCAATGAAGCTCAAGTTTTATTCGCATTGTCTTTGTTTTTTTTTTTTTTTTTTTTGGTTTTACGAGACAGGGTTTCTCTGTTTTGGAGGCTGTCGGTCCAGCCTGGCCTCGAACTCACAGAGATCCGCCTGCCTCTGCCTCCCGAGTGCTGGGATTAAAGGCGTGCACCACCAACGCCCAGCTCGCATTGTCTTTGTTTTTACCAATGTCATTTTTCTTTTTCTTTTTTTGAGGGGGGGGGGCACAGTTTGAGATAGGGTTTCTCTGTGTAGCCCTGGGTGTCCTAGAACTTATTCCGTATCTGTAGACCAGGCTGATCTCGAACTCAAAGATTAGTGTCATTTTTCTATTTCTGCATCCCATCCATTCTTAACTAGTACAGTTTCTTAGACTTTTCTTCCTTTTGATGACTTTGACACTTTTAAAGAATATTGGGAACAGGGACTGGAGAGATGGCTCATTGGTTAGAAGGACAGACTGTTCTTCCAGAAGACCAGGGAAAATTCCCAGCACCCACATGGCAGATCACAACCGTCTGTAACTCCAAGTCCTGATATCCTTATACATACATGCCAGCAAAAACAGCAATGCACATGAAATAAACAAACAAATAAATAATAATATGGGGGGGGTTGAAGAGATGGCTCAGAGATAAAGAGCACTGGCTGCCCTTCCAGAGGACACTGGTTCAATTCCCAGCACCCACATGGCAGCTTACAATTGTCTGTAACTCCAGTTCCAGGGATTCAACACCCTCACACATACATGCAAGTCAAATATAGGCTGATATTAAAAATAAAAAGGAATGATCAAAAAACAATTTTTAAGAATATTGGGTTTCTCCCAGCACTGGGGAGGCAGAGGCAGTCGGATCTCTGTGAGTTTGAGACCAGCCTGGTCTACAAGAGCTAGATCCAGAACAGCCTCCAAAGCCACAGAGAAAACCTTTCTCGAAAAACCAAAATTATATATATTGGGTTTTGCTTTTTAAATTTTTATTTATTTGATATGCATGAGTGATTTATCTGCATGTATGTCTGTTCAACATGTGCATCCCTGCTGCCCTCAGAAATCATAAGGGGGTCAGCTCTCCTGGACTGCCGCTGTGGAGAGATTGCAGTTGTGAGCTGCCATGTGGGTGTAGTGTAAGCACTTGAACCAGGTCTTCTCAAAGAGCAACCAGTACTTTTGATGACTGAGTCATCTCTCCAGCCCTATTTTTAATATTTATTTCTTATGGTGGTGCTGAAGATTAAAACTGTCCTGGCTAGTTTATGTCCATTTGACACAAACTAGAGTCATCCAGAAGGAGGGAATCTCAACTGAGAAAAACCTCTGTAAGATCCAGCTATCGGGTGTTTTCTTCATTCATGGAGGAGGGCCCAGCCCAAGGTGGATGATGCCCACCCTGGGATGGTGGTCCTAAGATCTGTAAGAAAGTAAACTGAGCTAGCCATGCTGAACAAGTCAGTGAGCCCCTTCCATGGCCTCTACATCAGCTCC